CAGCTCCGAGAGCGCCCCCGCGCCGCCCGTGAGCGCCCCGGCCGCCGCCACACAGCCCCTGGGCGCCGGGTGCTGGTGTTGGTGCAGCTGCTGCTGAAGGTGCAGCTGGTGGAGCTGGTGCAGCTGGTGCCGGGCAGCAGGCTCGCGCGCCTCCGCGTCCCCGCCGCCGCCAAGTTGGAGCGGGCCGAAGTCGGCCGCGCTGGCCGGCATGCCCGGCGCGGCGTACGCGAGGTGCTGATGCTGGTGGTGAGGTGGCTGCTGCTGTTGCTGCTGCTGCTGCTGGCGCCGGTAGAGCTCCGCGTAACGCTCGCTCAGGTAGAGCTGGCGCGCGTTGCGGAGCACGTAGGACACCAGGAGGTTCTTGTGCAGCTTGATGCCGCCGCGCTGGGTCCGGGAGCTGTGGATCTTGCGCAGGGAGATGCTGATCAGGCTCTGGGCGTCCAGGGCGCACTCCATGCTCTCGCGGAGACGGCGGCGGCAAAGCAGCCGCCGCCGCTGCTAAAGCTAATGCTGCTGCTGTTTCGGTCTCCAGCCGGCCACTGGGGCGCACCGGGCAGATGGAACGAAGCCCGGGTCAGCAGGTCGGCTGCGCTCCCAGAGGCGCCGCCACTATGCGATACGCGCCACCCGCGGGCTCTGACTCCCCAGACGGCGCCAAAGCAATGAGCCTCGGCCAGCCCCGGCCCCAGCTATTTAGCTGGGTGCACGGGCCCCGCCCCACATCTCAAAAACCAATAAAAATATCCAGAACATCCCGAGTGACAGGCGCTGCCCGCCCCAGGGCCACCCGGCTGGCCAATCAGACCAAGGCGGTTCCTTTGTGCTATTCAAATACCGAACGGACCCCGGGCCGCCAACGCCGCTGCTGCGTCGAATGTTCTCCCAGGGCCGCGGCGCCGCGCGGGATTCAGAGCCACCGTGGCTGCTGTGTGCATCAAGGGTCGCCTGGCAGCAGCCACGTTGAAACCTGCAGCCGCCCGGGGCCTGGCTCCAGGGAGCCAGGGGTCGGCTCACCTACTTGCCGCGGTGGCTGGCTCCTCCCCCTTCTGCGCGACCGGTCCTCACCTGGTGCAGGTGCACACGGATCCCTACTCCCGGTCTTGTGGCGCCTCCTCTATCATCTGGTTTGACCTGAGGGACCCAAGACCTTTTCAGGAGGCTGGTGGAATCAGGAGACACTGGAATCACCTCGAGGAAGAGAGATTTGGGAGTGCCCTCCACATCAGAGAATGTCGGAACTGACTCCCTAGCTTTTTGACCAAGGGGACTTAAGGGAATGCTTGTAAAGGGCCACGCTCCCCATTTGTCTGACGGGAACCCCAAAACATCATGACTATTACCTCTCCTGGAGAAGGCTCTGAGGCTTGCCTCAGGGAGTGTATGGCTCCGCAGGCAGCCGGGCCCAAAGGCTTTTGGAGAGGTGGACAAGGGAGTTTCCTAATCACCAGTTCTGCAACCTTTCCTTTCCAGCCTAAGTACCAATAACGACAATTGTTGTTGTGGTGGTGAAAGCCAAATCTTTCTCCTGCGAAACTGCTGGTAGTTTCGAACTGCTGACCATGAGGTTAGCAGCCCGACTCATAACAACTACACCTCCTATGGGGCAGGCTCTTGAATCTCTCACATTCAAGGTTTGCCTGAGGCTCAGAGAAGCTGGTGACCTTAGAAAGAAACATGCTCCTAAGTGGCATAGCTGGGAGTTCTGGCGTGGCATTGTGGGTTAATGCACCAGACTGCAAAGCCTTTGATCTGCAAGGTCGGTGGTTCAAGTTCACCAGCTGCTCCTTGGAAATCCTATACAGGGTCGCTATGGGTCAGAATCGACTCGAAAGCACTTAACAACAAGTGGCATACCTAGTTTTTCACTAAGGTCTGTGAGCTCTAGAGAGAATGTGAACACCAAGGACAGAGGAATTCATCAACTTAACTTCTGTTGACACTGTTTGAATGGTTCCTTATTCGGAACCATTTGTGGGCCACCTGGGGACTGAGACCAGAGAGGGACAGAGTTGCTAATGCTTGGGACTTTCTGGAGTGGGAGGCCTCAATGGGGTGTCTGCTTCTCTGGGAGGAAGGTATCCAGGACACCCAGGGTAGGGACTGTACAAGTAACTCTAGAGGTGCATCTGGTGACCAGAAGATTTGCCTGGGGAAGCAGTCCTTGAGTTGGTCCACACAGGCTTCACAGGAGCAATGAGAGATCTGCCAGGGACTTTGTGGGGGTTGAGGTAGAGAGAGGTACCTGGAGCAGATTTTCTACTGTTTTATCCCCTCCTCAGGGTTTCCACTGTGTCTCCCCTCTTCCTCTGGGTGCTCTCTGTCCCTCATTTGTTCCTTAGTGGAATTGGGTGTTCCTGTAGCCTTAAGAATCCTCAAGATTTGTTTCCTCAAACAATTTTCTACCATCTACAAGGAGCCTGACTGCAAAGTTGGTTAACTCACTAAATGCTCCTCGGAAAACCCTATACAGGGTCGCTATGAGTTGGAAACGACTCGACGGCACTTAACAACAACAACAACAACACACGGAACTCGCGCTGTGGGTTAGGCATTGGGCTGCTAACCACAAAGGTTGGTAGTTCAAATCTAAGAGTCGCTCCAAAGGAGAAAGATGAGGCTGTCTGCTTTCATGAAGATTCACAGTTTCGGAAACCCTAAATAAGACAGCTCTTAGATGGAATCAACTGGATGGCAGTGGGTTTGGGAACTCAATGTTAGGTAACAAGGATGAAAATAAAGTTAGGATCCAGTTACCCCATTGTTTTCATATGAGGAAACATGGGCACTGACAACTTAAATGTCTTGCCAAAAGTCATAAAGTTTCATGCCCATGTCTGATACTCTGACCTTCCTTAAGACTAAGAAGAATCCCAACCTGATTTTGAGCTCCTGTAATCAGTATCATTTCTCCTGACCTCCAACCAGAGAAGCCAAAGGGCATTCAGAGAAAGGGCAACTTACTTCTCTGGTGATATTGTCATTACTGGGTGCCATCCAGTGCATTCTGACTCATAACAATCCCATGCCATTGTTGTTGTTGAGGGCCTTTGAGTAGGTTCTGACTCATAATGACCCTGTATAGGGTTTGTGAGAAGCAGTTGGTGGGTTTGAACTACTAACCTTGTGGTTAGCAGTCTGTTGCTTACCCTATAGCACCAAACCAGGACTCCGCCCCATGTCCTAGGGACACACAAACGCAAACTAAAGTGTTTGTCATCAAGTTGATCCTGACTCGTGGCCACCCCATCCATGTACAACAGAACTAACTGCTCCATAGGGTTTTCTTGGCTGTAATCATTACAGAAGCAAATCACCAGACCTTTCTTCTTCAGAGTTTCCAGGTGGGTTAGAACTGACACTCTTCCAGTTAGTAGTCGAGTGCAAGCCATTTGTGTTACCAGGGACGTGAAGAGCTGTGCAGTTTGCTTATGTGTTAATATCTAGGGTCTTATCTCACAGACACGTAGAAGCTTCATTTCTTTCTTTCTGAAGTTCACCTTGAAGACATCACCAGCATGTAGTGGGAAGTGGGAGGTTTTATCCTGCTTTCCAGCTCTGAGTACTCAGTATGCAACAGCCCAGCCTGGGAGTCACAGTGTCAGCACATTGTAAGTGACCAAGAATGCATGATTAATGCTGATTTCAGGCCTTCATCTTGTCCGTGTCCAGTATTTACTGGACAAACAGATTCAGAGAGTTTATGTGTTTTGCTGATGGTCACACAGCCAGGAAGGGGTGGAGTTAGGATTTGAATACAAATCTGTTTCCAGGATTGGAAGTTCCCTCTAGATTCTTTGAAATCAGCTACTTGTTTCCCCAGGTGGTGGGTCTAAGTCTGGTTTTCAGGACCCAGCTCACGGTGACTCTAATTTGATTAATATCCATCACTTTCCTGCCAACTGCTCTGAGACCAGGGCCTGCAGGAACCCACAAGAGGCAAATATCAGAGCCAGCCTCAACTTAGTTACGGAGCTGCCTACAGCTTTTCTAAGAGCTGTACACCATATCATGGTTCTGGGGCCTCAAATGGGGATTAGAATGGGATGGCCTTGGGTTCCCCAACCTCAGGCTGGTGAACCAACCAAGAGCTAGGTCCCACCCTTAGCAGCTTCTCATGGCACTTCCCAGGGATCCCACCCCCACCCCCACCCCCGCCCCAGCCTCTGCCTCTAGATGAATTTTGAGCTCTGCTAAGCCCCTTCTTCCCTAGGTGGTACAAATGGTTAATGTGCTTGCCTGCTAACCTTTTGAAACTTGGAGGTTCAGGTCTATCCAGAAGCACCTCAGAAAAAAGGCGTGACAGTCTAAAAATCAACCATCAAAAACCCTGTGGAGCACAGTTATATTCTGACACATATAGAGTCACTATGAGTTAAAGATGTCTCAATGGCATTTGGTTTTTAAGGCCCTCTCACCTTGGGGTCAGCTCCATCCATGGGTGCTTCTTCTCTCACCTTCTTGTCTGCAGTCCCCCTCTCTTGGCTTCTCTGCCTTCCCAAGAATTGAGGAGTGGGCTATTACAAAAGGCTAAGCAGTTGTTTAGCTTAATAAAAACCCTTGATCTGTTTTGGGGTGGCCTGGGAGAGGGGTGTTGCTGCAGCTGTTATAAGAACATACTTGCAGAAGGAGACAAAGAAACAGCTGAACTATGTGGTGCACTGGAAGCAGTGGGGCTGGCGGGCACAAAGTAGGAATTCACCATTGTTTCTAGAATGGGTGAGTTGCGCCTGAAGCTTCCATTCTAATTTGTCAAGATTTAGGTAGACTGGCAAGGTCCGTGAGTGTGAGTGTGAATGTGCGCAAGCACGTGTTGCAAGAGGAGGGATGGAGGGGGTTAGGTCTGAGTGAGACTAGGTTGGTTTCTAGACTGGCCTAATTTGCTCAGACATCTGAGAAAGATTGGGGTTCTCACCTGCCTCCCTCATGTTCATTCCCTACCCCCCCCCCCCAAGCTGGGGAGATTACATACGGCACTGAGTCATTGCTCCCTCTAGGAAGTTAATTAATGCCTAAATATTTACCGAGTGTCTGCTGGGGCAGCACAGAGCAGGGCTGGAGCCACTTGGGACTTGGGCTTCCTCCCGTCAAACCCTGGTGGTGTCAAGGTCTTGCCAACACAGTTAACACTTCCCTGTTTGGGACAAGTACCACATACATCTTATGGACATCAGTTATTCTGGTTACATGGTTAGGAAAGGTTTCTAGACAGCAGGGGGATTTCCTGGGTGGGCTCCAGGAGACTGGTCCAAGGAAGAGGGTGCAGAGGCAAAAAACTCCATCAGGATCTCATGTTGGGGTGAGGGGATGAAACAGAGAAATTTGGGATTCACCCATTCATTCATTTGTTTATTTGTTCAAAAGACATTTCCAGAACACTTCACCAGAATCCCTGGGTGTAGATTAGGTAACAGGATGCGATCCTGCCTTCAGGAGGCCATGATTCAGAGGGAAGCAGA